ACGCGGTTTTTTTTTATATTTCTATCTGAAATATTAACATACGCGAATTTACATCAACCCTTGACTGACCATGGCAAGACTATTCCATCCGATTTCACTAAACGTCTACGAGATTAAAAAATACAGTAACACTAACATTATAGTTAGTTTGTATTTTTACTAAATAATTTTGGCTGATCTCCTGTATAATCCTGACTGAGGCAGAGGTCATGGTTTAGAGTCCAACCCTGGACAAATAACCATGTGATGAACTGCGTCTGGGTGTAATTTATCTGTAATATGTATGTATTTAGTAACACATAGGTATATTTATCAGCAGTTTGTTTATTGTAGTGCAGACTATGTTAGGATCACACTGCCTTATGTCAAGTTATTATTATTGTTAGTGGAATTCGGTAAGAACCATATTAATAGATGCGGCCATTACCGGAATCCAACAAAAAATAGCAGTTTTATTGTCTCACACATCTCACACACGGCCGTCTGATCCCAAACTAGGCAGAGCCTGTACTATGGTAACCAGACTGCTGATAAACATACTTATATATTTCTAAATACATACATATTATAGATAAATTACACCCAGACACTGAACAGACGATCGTGCTAATCATACAAATATTTGTCCTGGCTGGGAATCGAACCCACGACCCCCGGTTTAGCAGTCAGGGTCACTAACCACTAGACCAACAGGCCCGTCACGCCGAGGCTTTTAATATAGCTTGTTATTTTAATGAAACACAAGCTTAGTCCAAGTTGCACGCCGATTATTGTTGAAGGACCAGGCGTGACGGCTCGGATCACCATGTACGAATTGAAAACCAACAGTAGTGTAACGTAAACACATATTTTTACCTGATTACGGCAAGATGAAGTGTAATATTTTTTATATTTTATTCGAGTCAGTCCCTAAAGTAATTTAGTTTAGTATTATTTGAATATTTACTGTTTACGTTTAAACCAAGCTATGTTTTACATTGAAACAAGTTTTAACCGTTTTTTTTTAAAAGTAATTAGTAGACTAGTTCAAAACAAACTAATCTTAAATTAGTGTGTTAACTTGTGCAGTGAAATCGGACGCCAGTATATGATTTACACATATTTAAAGAGAATATATAGTCACTGACTGGTATTATATCACACACAGCCGATGTGCATATCTATGTACTAGCTGACCCGCGCAACTTCGTCTGCGTCTCTCAATAGTAATAAATTTTATAAGTTTTTTAAACATTCCTCCTTTCGTGCTCCGCTCCTATTGGTCTTAGCGTGATGATATATAGCCTATAGCCTTCCTCGATAAATGGGCTATCTAACACTGAAAGAATTTTTGAAATCGGACCAGTAGTTCCTGAGATTAGCGCGTTCAAACAAACAAACAAACTCTTCAGCTTTATAATATTAGTATAGATTCAAATTCGAACTTTGAATTACTGACAGTAATACATTGTTTTGTAAATTTTTTCAATACTCTGATTTTCATTAAAAATACTTTCAATGGTAATGAAACTAATTTTGGAACTGCTATTTTAATTTAATAATTACTAGAGCAGAATATGCGATTTATAATATGAATTTTTATAACATTTATTCATTCATTACAAAAATATTGATGATATGTGATTTTAAATTGTGTAAACCATATACTATAATTAACAAACTTACAAACCTACCAAAGTGTCATATCTATAAGTCTTTTTCCTTGATTATTATGTCTTTATAATTTAGATTTTATTCTTAGGAACTTTTACGTGCAGTTGCTAATTTGCTACATTAGTGGGACGGAAAGTCTAGCCGGCAAACTGTGGGCTTTTAATACGCCACTGTTTACCTCTTCGGGGTATGTTTTATTACAAGTACCTATTCATGTCAAGCCCTTTAAGTGAGCAAAATTTATGTGCGAACGAGTTCACGACTGTAGTGCATGGGGCGGGTTACGAACCCGCAACCAGTTGAACGCAAGTCCGACTGCTTAGCCATTCAGTTATACAACTTGCCTTTAATCGTATGAGACACATAGGAAAAGAATCGCCAGTTAAATTGCGTTTATGATCACTGCTTTGCTCCTAAGAGTCATAGCATGATGTTAAACAGATTATAATCTTCCTCAAGAATTGGTCTATCAAATGCTAAAAGAATTTTCAAATCCGGCTACTAGTTACAATGATACGTGCCTTCAAACAAAATTGATATTTAAATACTAGGCTATTAATATATTTTAAGCACGAAAATAGCAAACTGCACTTAAATTATTCTTAAAAAAGGTGTTTAGAGTAACGAAAGTGAAGGAAAAGACATTGTATATATGTATATATATCAGAACAATATATAATAGGATTTTATATGTATTTAATACTTTAGAAGTCAATATTATACGCGTAATATAGTTTTCACTACAAAAAAAAACCTCATAAAATAACAGCGGTCTTAATAAATTGGTACCATAGATGTTTTAAGTACCTAGAACACCTACCACAAGTGGACGACGATACCTCCAATAGTGAGGAATTCGTGGACAAAAAGATAAAGAGTGCCACAATACAAATCTAGCCATAGCTACCGACACATTATATTACCTACACCGTAAGCGAAAATTAAACAGTAATCGAACCTACACCACGCAAATACTACGAAGTAGTACAATAAAAACTTTCGAGTTTTCAGAGACACCCAGTTTTGAGATCGACATGGGCTATTTGGTGATCATCCATCACATCCATTCATAAATGAGAATGATCTCAGCCATTCTCTCCGTTCCATTCGTTCTCTCATGAGATGCATGAAAGAACGGATGGACGGATCCGTATGAAATTTGAACAAGGCAGAATTGATTGACGAATTCCACATTAACGCGACAGAAGCCATGATTAAATGCTAGTGTTTATTGAATAGAAGAATGGGGGCATTTACTATAGCTCAATAATTCAATTATTTGTTTTAATAATCCTCATGAAATCAATGTATACAAAAATAATGACGAATGGCGTAGTGGTTTGTGTAACGGACTGCTATTCCAAAGGTCGCGGGTTCTATTCCCGCTAAGTCAAACATTTGTGTGCATGAACATTTAATGTTTGATTTGGTCTGGGTGTTTCTGTATATAATAAGTATGTATTTACAAAAAAAAAGTATATATGTATTTATATCAGTTGTCTAGTACCCTTAGTACAAGCTCTGCTTAGTTTGGGACTAGATGGCGTTGTGTGAATGTGGTACAATATTATTTATTTATTTATAAAATTACTTGCCCTGACTGCCTGATTCATCAGCGCAGAACCTAAGCTGGGGCTACCATGGGCTTTTCATGTTGTAAGCATCCTCTAAGTTAGGATTTTTGGAAATTTCATCCCTTAAGGGTAAAATAAGGGACAAACGGTTGCATGGAAGTACGTAATTTTCAGTTCAGTTAGAAATATGGTATAATCACGGGCAATGGTTGGTTTCATATAAATATCTAAACAATGTACAATTTTGAAGTTGTCATTGTGGACATGTCTTTCAGTATACACGAGTGTCTTTAAAATACGACAGTGTATGTAGCGGTAATTTTATACAAACTCATAACATTTAGACACATCATTATCAGTTCCATTCCGACCTTCGCAATCATCACTAGGCATAATATACTGAATTAAAACCGCCAATATAATAAACACCAAAGACAAAAGAAACATTATATTCAACCAATTCTCTTTCCACAGTGTTGCCAGTTCAATTTCCAAACATTCGCATTTAGGGCAACACTTCTCGTCTGTCCTTGGACACTTCCTCTTACAATGCTGACAGAAGCCTTTTACGTAAACTTCGCCAGTCGATTTAAAAGTTGGATTATAAAATATACGCACTTCCGTTTTTCCTTTGCATGTAGAGGAATTGTTAAGTATGTCTGTGTGTTTGTCGCCCGTCTCGCTCGTATAGTACCTCTCGCTCTTTTTTACGAAATTCTCGAAACCGTCGTGACGCAATTTCGATATTTGGTTCTTAGTGAAACTCGCTTCTGCAGTTTCCCTAAATGTTTCTGTGGTTGTTAGAACACGGTTGTATCTATCCGGATTTAAAAGCTTCATATTCAAAGATCCTGATACTTTTACGTCGGGTCCGGACTTTGTTACATCATTAATTATACTGTGGCACTCTATCTTTTTACCATCGCCGTTGAATCGATTAAATTTATCGTTAATATCATTTTTATCGATATTTTCCGATAGAAAGAACTTCTGCCGGAGAATATCGTTTTTAGTGCGTCTATCGAAATCTATGTTAACGTTATCGTGATATTTTTTATCGATATTCAGATTCGATTTATCTATATTAAGGTTTGATTTATCGATGTTAGGTTTAGCGTTATCGAAACTTAATCGAGTTTTATCGACATCTTTATTGGGTTTATTAATATTTAAATTACTTTTGTCAAGACTGTTATTCTGTTTTTCGATAAAATTAGCGCCATTTTTAGTTTTATCAAAATTGACGTTCGCGTAATCGTGATTGGAAAAATCTTTTTTGAAATTATATATTTTGTCTGAAATAGTTTTAGGGTACAACTTAGGGTTGCTGCTATCTAGATAACCCTCACAATTTTGTACAATAGATTCATAATCGTTATCGCTATTCGATTTTTGGGCTTGTTTCTTTAATATCATGTTACAATATTCAAGACTTCTGTAATAATCGGAGTCTGACTCCTCCTGTATCACGTCCAACATCCCCCAATTCCTAGAAGTATCTATATCCTCATATATCCCGTCATCTTCTACTTTCGCCTTCTCTTTACCTACAACATCGATGTTCTCAAAATCTGAATCGTACGCATCGTCTTTCTCTTTGCCAAAGAATACTTTGTAGAAATTATCGTAACAATAATTTAATTTTCTATATAAATAAGATTTTTTCCCATTACGTTTGGGGTCACGTAAGTTGCAATGGGAATCGAAATATAGATCATCGTAGGGGTCCGTCTCGCTGAAGGCTGTACAGAGATCTTGGGGATGATCTTTTACCTGGGTTTCCTTATCTTCTTCTGTCTCTTCGCCGATGGTGTAGAGGACTGTTGTGGAGGCTTCTCCGACGCGGGAGGCTGCGTTGAGAAGGTTTTGTCGCGGCTGGAATACAGAAAAAACAATTTAACAATATTTTAAATCTAAGTATTTGAGTCTTAAATTTACTTCTAATTAATTTCGTCTGGGTACCAAAACAGTTTAACTTTTCCTGGAACTTGCCGACTGCCGAGAATTTGTGGATCACACAAAGTGTTGTGCCCTGTGGGGATCGAACCCACAACACAACTGCGCGTGAGGTGACCGCTTATACCATATATTCCGTACCTCTTTAGTTTCCGGCTCAGCTGCCTTCAACAGATCACTGAACGCGGTGCATAAGTTCCTAGTTGCGTCCAGCAACTTGTCACCGTGCCCATCATCCTCCATCAGCGCGGCAATCATTTGAACTCCTTTCGTCATTTCCGGTAGGTTGGTGGTGATGGTAGTGATCGCGGCTCCGACTGCCGTGTGGTCTACTTCCTCCGTGGGACCTGGTAGAAGATTATATTTATTTATATTTACTATATTCTGGTACATCAACCCAAATTAAGTATAGTATGGTGTGTTGGGTTAGTGATTAGTGGTCCAGACTGCTGGGATGGAGGTCGATTGCCACCCGGGACTGTCTGGGTGTAATTTTAGTTTTTTTTTTATTTATTTTATTATAGAAGGAGGAGCAAACGAGCAGACGGATCACCTGATGGAAAGCGAACCTGATGAACGCTTGCAACTCAGAAATCACAAACGCGTTGCCGGGCTTTGCAGGAATTCAGGAAGTGTCAAATAAATAAATAAATGTGGTGCTCGAGGCGCATGATGAACATCAGTTGGATAGAGAAAAGAACCAACGAGGAAGACATACTAATGGTAAACGAAGATGGGTGCGATTCGATTAAAATAGCATTGTTTATTTTATGTTACTAATATAAAGTGAATATTAATGTGGATAGATGTAAAACACACTGAACTCAACTTAATTAGTATCAACGAAGTATCATATGACAATGTTGGGGGAAGAATGTCGTGGCCCCCTTAAACTTTCTTTTTAAATCAAAGGAACAAAATTTTAATTCTTTTACTTCATGCTCATTGTTGAATGCCATTGAAAACAGAAGAGGCAAAATGGTTGGCCACTTGATAAGACACAAAAACTTCTTTAGAATAATAATGGAAGGAAAAATAGAAAGCGAGGACGGCCTAGATTAACATACGTATTTCATTTCATTTCATTTATTTATTCAATTTTGTGATACATAGGTGGTTAATATGTCAATTTTATTATGTACAAGCTATGTCCCGCCGAAAGGCATACAAAATATTAGGCAATGATATATAAACAAAGCAATAGTATAATACGTCATTGAAATTAGGTACATTCCTTAAATATTCTAAGAGTATTGTTTAAATAAACCATCATCATTTTACATAAACAAAGTCATCAATCCATATAAGTGTATATAATTTAAAGTCATCATCAGTTCAGGTCAAATTAAGTAAAAATAATAAAAGATAATTAAAATTTATAGTAAAAAATAATCAATTAATGTCAATAGTATTAAAATTGGTCATTTAAATATTCGTTTATGGAATAATATGCTTTATTGTTAAGAAATTCAAAGAGTTTACATTTAAATACGTACAGCAAGTGAAGGAGAGAGTGAGAGTCGTGGCCAATCAATAGGTCTAACAGATCGCAGGAAATAGAGAGGAGTGGGGATTGCTTCACCGACAAAGGCTTGGCTTTTACATTGAGAGAGAGATTTGTGCTATTTATTTAAAAATTATGTAAAGACGGCTCATCTTTAGGGGCCCAGGATATTAGGTCTTTGCCTATGAAATTGCCGTTTTGTATGCAATAAGTTAAAGTACTTATTTTTTCAAACTTTTTTATTTCTGTTATTCAAAGTAATCACCCATGCAATCGACGCATCTTTGCCAACGCATTGGCAGTTTATTGATGCCTTTCTTGTTAAAATCAGCTGGACGGGAGGCAACAAACTCTTCAAAGGCATTTTGTACTGCCTCTCGGGCATTGAATTTTTAACCCACTAAGCATTAAGATGCGTCGATTGCTTGATGCTCGATACTTCGAATAACAGAAATAAAAAAGTTTCAAAAAATAAGTACTTTCACTTATTGCATACAAAACGGCAATTTCATAGGTAAAGACCTATTATATATATTTAGTGGTCCGGAAAAAATTACGGCCAGATCAATTTCTTGACTATGACTACTTACCGGATGTTAAGGTGACGACTTGTGCGGTGGCGGCGTTCATGGCGGCGATCTGTGACGTCACGACCTGCTTGTTCGTGTCCATGGTCACCTGCTTCCACTTCACTGAAGACGCGTCGTGTCCGAGAGATGGTAGAGACGCCTACAACAACAATTATATGTGTGAATTATTAATGTATAACTGGTAGCGTCACCTAGCGAAGCTGACAGGTACTACAGAGAAACTGTATAATATCCTGTATCCCGCAATAAAAAAAATCACCTGGATTTGTATATAACTAATACAATTTCTACTTACGACTAATCGTAGGTCTGTGTGGAGACTGATTAAGAATACAGAGTGTCACTACCCCTATTCATCCCGTGGGTGTGGTAATAGCCGACTAAGAACAACAGCACTGCAGAGAGAAGGAAAACTTGACCCAAACCCTATACCAACCCATGTGGCCAGCGTGGTATAGAAGGTTCGAACCTCCTTTCTAAGGAGAGGCCTATGTCCAGCAGTGGACTATTAAAAGCTGTTAATGTGATGTGATTTGACTAATAGGTAGGTTGGTTGTTTACGTAGGTTTTTCTCGTTGGGAATAGAACATAATAATAGCCCCCGTAAAAGGTTGTTTTGTAACAAATTGAGATAACACAAAATTTTATTAAGAAATCAAGTTTTTAAAGGCCTTGCAGTACGGGTAATCTTGTCACTCTTTGCTTATAAGGGCAGATTTAATGAGGGCTCCTGTTCATGAGCTATCCTTCAACTCGGTTGTGTGATATTTAAGAGAGCCAGACAAGCTGACTCCTTGGCAACATAGAAACGTTAATATAAAAGGGGGAGGGAACCTTCTATGTTGGTGTCTGGCACTGCACGTGTTAGATGCGAAACTATAACCCGGCAATCTCGTGCGCGACCGTCCCGCGGGGTGACAGACAGTGGCGGGGGCGAGGTAGCGCGTCATTCTAGCACACGGCTAGACACGATTCCCTTCCCCGCTACACCACCCGCTACCCGCTGACATCTTGAGTACCTCGTCCCCGCCACCGTCTGTCACCCCGCAGGACGGTCGCGCACAACGTTGATGGACTATAGTCAACCATCTCTGAAATACACACGTAAGTAAAACTGTTTATCTTTTATGATCATCTGAAGTAATACTTACTCTGCTGAGGCTCTCTTCTGTCTGTTTTATAATTTCCCTTCCACTGGTGATGGTTGATAAAAGAGCGCGTTGTGGCTCCGTCAGGATGGAAGTCACTTTCGTTTGTTGCATCTGGGACGCCTGGCAAAGGATAATAAAATGAAATAATCTATAATCTATAATAATATTATAAAGCTGAAGAGTTTGTTTGTTTGTTTGTTTGAACGCGCTAATCTCAGGCACTACTGGTCCGATTTAAAAAATTCTTTCAGTGTTAGATAGCCCATTTATCGAGGAAGGCTATAGGCTATATATCATCACGCTAAGACCAATAGGAGCGGAGCACCAATGAAGAATGTTTCAAAAACGGAGAAAATTTATTACTATTGAGAGACGCAGACGAAGTTGCGCGGGTTAGCTACTTGGAAATAAAAAAGTTTGAGATATATTATACCGCGTTATTCTATTAGTACCCAAACTAAGCATGGTCCCGTTATGTGTGTGTGGGACTAATTAAATAGCATTACACCTTTTGTTTGTCCTTGTGTTTTAATTTAACCCTAAGGAAACAGAAAACAACTAGAAAATTTACTAACACTTATTTCAACCGATCAAAGCTTTTCAAATATACATTTTAAATCTTAAGAGAGACCTAAGAAGAGAAGAAAAACCTATACCAACCAGTCTGGCCAACGTGGTATAGTAGGCGATAATCTCTTTCCTAAAGAGAGGCCTACGTCCAGCAGTGGACTACTCAAGGCTGTTGATGATGATGATGAATATTTGAAACTTACATGAAACGGACACAAAGAACATCCAGACTCAGAACAACAATTTGTGGACCACACAAAGTGTCGTCCCATGTGGGGTTTGAACCCACAACACTCGGCGTAGTAGGAAGCGGCGTGGCGACCTCTTAAACCACTACGCCATCCGTGCAGTCTTACTCGTATGATCATGAAGGACACATTACACACACCCACACGTTTTTATTCTAGAGGACGTCAACAGAAGCGAACTAAACGCCTAAATTTTGCCAACTATTATTATTTTAGTTCCATTTACGTAAGGAGGCCAGCTTATTGCTGTCAACTGAGCACATATATTTTTAATATACTACATTCAGACACAGAACAAATGACAGTGCTCATCACACAATATTCGTCTTGGGTGGGAATCGAACCCACGACCTCTTACTTCTATTTAGGATTGCTAACTACTAAACCAAGATGCCCAGTTTGGTTTCATGCAGACTAGAAAGCTCTTATAACATATTGTATATATGTTTTATATAAAATAAATACCTACAGAACCCATTTCGATGACTGTAGATATTCAAAAATGCAGCATGAAACAAATTAAACCACCATTTAAAATAACACATCACTGAAAACATTAAAAACACCAAAAAAATAAAATACATTGCAAATAATAATAAAATAAAAGCATTACTAACAGCTGGAGGAGTATGTCCGGTTATGATCTGTCCGGAGACTGTGGTCTGCTGTGCTCCTGTCATGTGGCCCACAGCGAACGGCTTCGCACCTACAGGGGACAAATTAAATAATACAAGCTTTTGTGCATCGATATATACAAAACAAAGCTTCAACTGTGCTCATTATATTTCTAAATAATAATACATACATACATTAAAAAAAACAGATATAAACAAGACAATACTTTTTTAATAGTTTTTTTTATTAAATGTCAAAATTGTATGTTCTGTAGGACACTGTGACGACACATACTGCTATTGTCAAGTCATTCAGTTTTCATGTTTAGTTAGATATTAAAAGAAATCTCTCTTCAATAATATTTAACATAAACTAACGTTAAACTTTAATGTTACGAAACCTTAGACAGTTTTGACAAAAAAGTCACAAGTAAGTCGCCGCCCTTTGAGCCCCTTTCCCCCAAGAATAATGAGGGGGGACGGGTAGAGTTGGGCTCCGGTAACCTCACTCACTCAGTGAAAAGTAACAACAGAATTAATTAACGCCGGTTTTCTAAAAATTTGGGCAGAAAAATAATATTATACAGTTGGCAAAGTAAATGTACGAACCTTCAGCGCCAGGTCTGTGTACGGCGGGCTTCGCCACCGACTCCGTGTTCACTTTGCCGGACTTGAACGTGTCGTGTTGGATAATGTTGGCCCTGGTAACAGTCGCTATGGTTAGACTATCTGCTGCAGAAGTATACCGTCGTAAGAGGCTAAGGCTAGACTATGAGAGGACCACTTAAGGAAAACCATACACAGGACACAACAGAGCTTAAAATTTCCCTTTTTGTTTGGTGACGAGGTTGAAAATCCCATCGGATCTCCGTGGTGGACGCAAAAGCCTGAAATATGTGGTGTTTCCACTAAAAACCATCCTGACTACCTACCTCAGGTGACCTACTCTGGGGAGGATCCGGACCATGTGATTTCAGGTGGGGGATCCTGAGTTTCAATACTCCTATTCGTTACAATTTAATAGACTTATACAACATCATTAACACTTGGGTGCAGTATACTATATATGATGCTGATAGTCTTCTAAAGATTTCTTTCATCAGGAGACTTTAATTTTAGTACAAATCTCTACTCAACTTCCTCCTAAATCCTAGTAATTAAGATGTACTAACTTAGAAGGAGAGACGGAGTCTTCCAGCATAGCGCTGCCCTCGTCCCCTTCGATACCGAGATGCTCCTTGGCCCTTTGCTTGCGGACGATGATGTCGATATAGCCAGCTATCACCTGCAGGATCTGTTCAGCTTCTGTCGTCTGTACCGAGTAGTACTGATCACTGGAATACACAGGAATAATATTTATTTTGTATTTTACTATTAATACGTTTCCAAAAGTTTCGATGTTTGTTATTTAATCACGCACAAAGCCGGTAAGTAGTTGTAGTAGAAGTGGTTTTATTTTTATAATTGACAATTCCCGCATTACGAGGGGTGATCAATAAGTAATGATAATCAATATGAAACAGAACTATTAGATTAAAAAAAGTATTTTATTTTTCAACATAGTCTCCTTGCAAGATAATACATTTAGTGTATCTTTTTTCTAAGCCCATGATTCCCTTAGAAAAAATTTTTTTGTCTTGACCCTCCCAAAATGCCTCTACTGCGGCCATCACTTCACTATTGTCCTCAAATTTGTTGCCCCGGAGGTGTTCTTTGAGCCGAGGAAAGAGGTAGAAGTCACTGGGAGCTAGATCTGGCGAATAGGGAGGGTGTTCGAGCAGTTCGAACCCCGTTTCTTCAATGGCAGCCGTCGCAACTGCGGCTTTGTGAGCCGGGGCGTTGTCTTGGTGAAACAGCACTCCAGCGCGCAGTTTACCGCGTCTTTTTGACTTAATAGCTTCTCGCAATCTTCTTATTTGGCCTGCGTAGTAAGAGCCTGTTATAGTGGCCCCCTTTTCCAAATATTCCACCATAATAATTCCTTCTGCATCCCAGAAAACAGACGCCATAACCTTTCCCGCTGAACTTGACACTTTGAATTTCTTCGGCGTTGGTGAGGAAGCTCGTTTCCAAGTCATTGATTGTTGATTGGTTTCGGGATCAAAGTGGTGGATCCAGGTCTCGTCCATGGTCACAAAACGCGACAAAAAAAACTCTTTATCGGCCTGGAACTTTTGAAGATTCACCCTCGAAATGTCGACTCGTTTCTTTTTTTGCTCGTCGGTTAACATTCTCGGTACCCAACGCGCAGAGACCTTTTTCATATGCATTTTGTTGACAATAATTTTTTGAACGCTGCCATAGGAGATCCCTGTGACCTCAGCTACATGCCTTACGGTCACCCTTCGATCGGCCAACACGATGTCTTCCACTTTTTTGACGTTTTCTCCAGTAAGGGACGTGGAAGGGCGTCCCTCGCGATGTTCATCTTCAGTGGAGGTTCTGCCCAGCTTAAATTCCTTTGCCCAGCGTGCGACTGTGGAATATGGAGGAGCAGACTCCCCCAATGTTTCCTCTAAGACGCTGTGTATGTCTTTGGTAGATATTTTTTTCAGGCAGAGGTACTTGATGACAGCTCTTATTTCATTTTTCTCCATTTTGATGTTTTCTCTTCGACAGTTCGTATTCAAATGAATGTATCTCCCGGTAATGGTGTCCTCTTTACACAATTTTTTTGAAGCTGAAGTAGTGGATATATAAGCAAGCAGAAAAAAAATAATTTGGGTTTTTGTGCGTTCTAGAAATACTCGATTATCATTACTTATTGATCACCCCTCGTAGGAATATATCCTGTGTCGCGGGGTCTTTTCTTGACAGAAAGAACACCCAGACTTAAAACAACAATTTATGGATCACACAAAGTGTTGACCCAAGTGAGGATGGAACCCACAATACTGTCCAAACCATGGCTCTTCCAGGGCCAACTTTGTTTGATTGTAAAAATCTGTCTTGTAAAAGTCTGTTTGCTATTTTAGCGTATAATCTATCTTTGTGCAATACGACTGCGCGGATGGTTTACTGATTTAAGCGGTCGCCACGCCGATTACTACTACGCTGAGTGTTGTGGGTTCGATCCCCACATGGGACGACACTTTGTGATCCCCAAATTGTTGTTCGAGTCTGGGTGTTCTTGGTGTCTGTTTCTTGTACGTTTGTAAAGGCAACCGCGACTCAGGATATATTCCTAATGTGGGCATTTTCTTTTTAAAAAGAAAAATAAATATTTTTAATAAACGGGCATCGAACCCGCAAACCTACCCTGTCAGTCTTAGTCACATGGTAATCTCAAGCCACATAAATATTTATCAGCACATACCTGTAATCACCAAAATCCAAGGTGAATGTGTTGGGACTGGCGCACCACCTCCTCACAGTGGTGAGGGGCCAGGTCTGCAGGATCTCTTTGGTCTTCTCGTCCAAACGCAACACCGAGTCCTTGGTGACACCCAGCAGGCGAGGCACTAGTTTGTTCTTGCCTTTCATTTTCTCCTGATGAAGATATGCATTCGATATAATTTAGTTTTAATTTCCTCCGAGCTTTAAGTTTACTACAATACGGCTGAATTTCGTTTTTTTTACGAGGAGCGATTGCCATCAGACCTTCACAGCCAAGTATTAGGCGATATCGAAGTTCTGTTGTTGGTCTTCATAACTTATTTTTTTCTTTTATATCAGAGGGCAGACGATAAGACGGTTCACCTGATGGAAAGTGACCATCGCCGCCCATGAACGTCTGCAACTAAAGGAGTCACAACCGCGTTGCCGGCCTTTTAGGAAGGAGTACGCTCTTTTCTTAAAGAAATATAAAACCGCAGACGATAACCCGTTCCACAGAGATATTGCATTTTTAAATTAGTTTTAATAAAAAGCCTAATCGTGAATTAGGTGGGGATTGATCCCATAGCCACTCGATCCGACCAAATACCAACCACGTGGGTTATAATGATTGAATAATAGCTTCACATGGTAAAGTAACACATCTCTCACACACTGATGTCTGATTCCAAACTAGGCAGAGCCTTTTATGTAACGTATGGAAGTCCCCTCGGGCCGTCACCCCAATGGGGTTTGCGGCGGGGCGGTGTGTGGGAATCGAACCGACCAAAACCACACGGTGTACCACTCCACGCCTGAGATCGGAGGAGTCCGGGAACAGGTGATATTAAGACATCATAAAAATGCTTACATATTTCTAAATATATACATTTCATTCAATTATGGATAATAATAATAGCTTCACACATCTCACACACGGCCGTCTGATCCCAAACTAGGCAGAGCCTGTACTATGGTAACCAGACCGCTGATAAACATACTTATATATTTTTAAACACATACATATTATAAATAAATTACACCCAGACACAGAACAAATGAATGTGCAGATCACACAATTATTTGTCCTGAGTGGGAATCGAACCCACGACCTCTGGCTTAGCATTCAGGGTCACTAACCACGGGACCAACAAGCTAGTCAAGAATGTGACGGAGGCTTCTGCTGATGTATTAAGAAATTGATATTATCGACTTATACCAAGAAGGTGATTCTTAAATCAACTAAATACTACTTTATTCGTATCTTCGTCATTTGTGAACAGATTTCTTACCTTGACCAAGAAGAATGCTACTCCGTAAGTCTTGAGGTCCCTGGCGCTCTTGGTGTACAGCACTTTGGCGTCGAGCTCGCTGAGCCCCACGTGTTTCTTGTGCTCTTTGAAGACCTTCTTCTCAATACCTTTGACCTTCACATACGATGCTGGAAGGAATTCTTTGAGACTGAAACAAATTGATAAAATTAGATAATTTTTTTTGCCATTTTTTTTTAATTTGTACAAATAAAAAAATACTTACTCAAGGAATCCAGTAGTGTGCTTGTCCTCTCTGTGATCACCAAACTGGATCTGACACTGTATACCAGCGAACTCGCAAGCTGTTAGCAAACAATAACACAACCATTTAAACATTTTAACTAGTTTTATCAATTTAATGTTTCATTTTCTGCCTAAGCTCAATTCCAGAGTTATAATTTCTAGACAGTTCTAGAAATTTGTCTATAAAAAGAATGCTCTCTCTTTTTCTGGTGTAATAACCTCCTTGGACCTCCTTCGGTAACCCCGCTAGGGATTAAGGTGTGGTGTAGTATCGAAATCGAACCGACTAAAACTATACTGCGCCTAATAAAGAAGGGAGCAGGAAACAATGGTTAGCATATCCTTGCTAACTACTGTTAGAGCACAAATATATATCTGTACATTTTTTTACATAAAACAATTTATTTTTAGGCATAGAAATAATTGCGCTGGGAATCGAGCCCACGATCACGAAGTGACAGTCAACAGCCACTAGGATTCTACTTAGAGTATTCATCAATATAATTTACTTATGTATTTCTTTCTAACATAGGGGACAAACAAGCCGGGCACGCCGTCATCGCGGCGGTAAGACCCGTTATGGAGGATTGGCTCGAGAGGCGTCACGGGACCCTCTCATACCGACTGACCTGGCCTGGGGGTGACAGATGAGGCCATCTGTCACCCTAGCAGAAGCAGGCCGGGGCTCCCTGGAAGCGCGCTTGCTTCCAGGGAGCACAGGGAACATGGGGTTCCCACACGGGGGGGGGGGTCGTCTACTCGTCTGTAGATGACCCGAGGTATGTCGGGGCACCAGGGACTTCCTTTCTAGTGTATACCTGGTCCGTTCCGTCCGTTCAGCCGATTCAATCCATGCTAATATTATAAACGCGAAAGTGTGTCTGTCTGTCTATTACCTCTTCACGCTTCAACCGCTAAACCGATTTGGATAAAATTTAGTATGAAGATACTTTGATTCTTGAGGAAAGACAAAGGCTACTTTTTATTTCGATAACCGACATTTACGTGGGCAGAGCCGTGGGCGAAAGCTAGTATGTAATATAGCAGACATGCCTACTATATTTTTTAATAAAATACATACCTTTATCCTGTGTGACAGGATGCATTCCATCCAGGATAGCGTCTCTGGCTTGCACGTACAGCAGGTTCAGCTGTACAGGGTCTCTGGAGTCCACGTTGCGGTCTGAGAAGAACAGCTTGCGGCGGAGGAGAAGGGTTTCTGTCACATCGATACCTTGCTCTCTGAGGGTCTTGGAGGGCTCCACCCAGTTCACTGTCGGGGAATAATATCACATTGATATATCTTTGCTTGAATTCTAACATAGCGGCAGTATTTCATTAGATAACATTATGTAATTGTAACGACAACCACAGCCATTCTTAGTTAACTTAAAAATAAAGTGTCACCATCTTCAATCAGCCTACATAATGAGGAATTGCTAATTAGTAGTAGGTATATTGCAGAAGTTAAACAATCCTAACCAGGTCAGTCTATGCATGGGTGACCATTCTTAACTCATTGAGACCCCTCCGTGTCTCGGGGAGCACGTTAAGCCGTGGGAGGCAATGGTTACAGGAAGTTGGAACCCTAAAAAGTCCCACAACAGTCTTTCTACAGAACTTCGATATCGCCTAGTACTTGGGTTGTGGAGGTCTGATGGTAGTCGCTCGGCAGAAAAAAGATTGTGAATATTTTCTTCAAATTTAAACAGAACCACGTATACCCCTGCAATTTATTTTTTATGACTGAGTTCTGAGATAACAAATATGAAAAAAAAAAGCCGTGTGGTGTCGTGGGACACCCGATAGGAACGAAGTTGTGACGATCGAGTAAAACTGATTCGACACGATTTTAATTACAACGCCATCTATGAAAGCGGCTATTACCTACATATTTTTTAGTTGGTTTCTAATTAAAACAATTTATACATTTATAGATGGCGCTGAATGACTGACAAGTGACAATTCAAAATAAAAAGTGTCGTTACAACTTTTCGTGAGATTTTTTTCCGTCTAGCCCCCTTTCACAACGCGCGATAAGGAACTTCGTTCCAAAAACACAGCAGAATTTAGAATCTACTATTTTTTTTAAGTCGGTGAAAATGAAACTTTTTTATCCAAACGAGCACAGATAGCAATGCGAAGGACATATACCTTCGTCGTCGGTCCTGAGCTTCTTCCGCAGCTGTTCCATCTTGGCGTCGCGCTCCTTCTCTTGATGTTTTCGCTTAAGGGTAAGGGTGCCGTAGTTGGGCTTCTCGCAAGGATCCGGCTCCTCTTTCTGTTCTTCGCGGACCTGGAGGCAAATTAAGTCTATTAATTAAAAAACTGAAAACCAATCTCTCTGTACTACTGTAACTGCTTTACACCAAGATGACCGAGTTATGATACTCGGGAAGTCCCAGGAAAAGTTAAACTGTCTTAGAACCCGCAACGAAATTAATCAGAAGTAAATTAATTGTAACTACGCAGACAACAGGGCCTCAATTCTGCTATTTTATGTTCACGCCAAGCCAGTGTCATACCACTGACACGCTATTGAGATGCCATCGAGTGGTCATTGGCATCGGTATAAATATCGGTAGTCTACACTAACTCAGTGTCTTTACAGTGGCGATGGAATGGCAGTGGCTCATCAGTGGTGATATCAAAAAGATTGCCACAATTGGAAAAAATAAATAAATCATTTCCTTATTATTTGAAAATATATTACGTTTTTTTGAGGAAATGATTTGGCTAATGGCCACTCGATGGCATTTCAATAGCGTGTCAGTGGTATGACAGTGGCTTGGGGTGAACATAAAATAGCAGAATTGAGGCCCTGCACTACAAAGAGAAGGAAAACTTGAAACAAACTCTATACCAACCCGTCTGGCCAGCGTGGTATAGTAGGCCAAAACCTCCTTTCTAAGGAGAGGCCGATGTCCAACAGTAGACTATTGTAGACTGTTAATGTCATGTTTGAAATTGGAATAGATGGAAATATAATATACCCAATTCCCCCCTCCTTAGCAAAGTGGGAGACAAAAATAAACTTTAATGGGCATACACCTCATTAACAAGGCAAGAACCACGGACACAAAAATATTATAGGTTATAATTTAAGTATATTTGATATGGTATGGTATACCGCATGTCTCGGATAAGAGGTGGAACTCGAGGAAACTGGGTCTGAATAACCGTAGGTATGTTATGTCCATCCTGTGATAGGTGAGGCCCTTCTAAGACTTACATTTAATAAATCACGTTGTCATGGTCACCACAAGTAGATTCTGCCGAATTCTAGTCTTGTGTGCTTGTCTCAAAAAAAAAATACAGTCGAATTGAGAACCTCCTCCTTTTTTGAAGTCGGTTAAAAAGGAATGAATTTTCCCCGTTTTCGCAACATTTTTCATTGATACTTGGCTCCTATTGGTCGTAGCATGATGTTATATAACCTATATCCTTACTCGATTAAAGGCCTATCCAACACTAAAAGCATTTTTCAATTCGAACCAGTAGTTCCTGAGATTACCCCGAACATACAAACTCACAAACTTTATTAAATAGATAGACAGCTGAAAAACGAATTCTTACCAGGCCATATTCGTCGTAGTTGGTGATACCAATCTTGGTGCATATCACCACCATCAGGTTGGCTACCACTTGACTGTCGTCTACGAGGAGTGTCTTCACAGTACCTGGAACAAAACAAAAAGTTTTTAAATAAGCACGTTTCATTTGTAAGTCTACTGCGGAAAAGCCATTCTTCTGCACAAATGAGCCGGCTGCCTCACAAAATCATTATCATCAACAGCCTTTAATAGTCCACTGCTGGACATAGGCCTCTCTTTAGTAAAGAGGTTTTGGCCTACTATACCACGCTGGCCAGACGTGTTGGTATAAGGTTTATTTCAAGTTTTCATTCTCTTTGCAGAGCTGTTGTCCTGCGTAGTTTGCTCCCTTGGTCGGTTCTTACGACACCCACGGGATGTATTAGGGAGGTGACACTTCGTATTCTCAATCCGTCACCACAGAAACAGCCTCACATAAAATTGGTGCTACACAGTTCTTTGGTTGCTTTTTGCAGAAGGATTGAGGTTACCGGAGTCCAACACCCTCCTCCTATTTCTGGCTTGTGGCTCTCGAGTTGTCCATTACTCTTGAGACGTCCTTGAGGTGTCCATGAGCGGTGGTGGTCATTTACCATCCGGTGACCTCTTAACTCGTTTGCCCCCTCAGCTCTATTTCTGCAAATAGTCTCGTCTCATGTCAATTAAAAGAAAGTAGGAGAGTGCTTGGCGTAGGTAGGCAGTTAGCTTCACTACCCTTGTGGCGACCTTAGAGACCCTTGTGGCGACTTCCACATAGAATGAAATAAAGAAACATTCTAAAGCGCCATCTATCGAAGTCACGTCGAACTACAGTGAACTGCTAATCCTGTATCGCGATATTAACAATTCTCTCGCCGATTGTTATATATACAACTTCCCAAAATCAAACGTTGGGCCAGGTCGGAGGATCCTCCCTTTATGTTGGAGGCACATGAACTTGTTCCTCCACACCCTTACCGAATATCCTTGAAATTCATATAACTGTATATTTTAAAATAAGTATCCTAAATTATTACAAACTTACCGTCAAGCATCCGAACTCTTAGGTTTCTGGTTTTCTTGTTATACTCTAGAAGATCCCCATTCCTCAGCATGTAGTAGTCGAGACTGCGAGACGCTTCGAGCCATATGCCTTTCTTGTTGTCTTCCTCTGACGCGAGAAATAGGCCGTATTCTTTTGCTGTGTGACAGAGATAGTAATATTGTAAGAAGCTGGTAATATAATTAATTATTAATATTATAAAGCTAAAGAGTTTGTTTCTTAGTTGAACGCGCTCATCTCAAAAACTACTTGTTCGAATTGAAACATTCTTTTAGTGTTCGATAGCTCATTTATCGAGGAAGGGTATAGGCTATACAACATCACGCTACGACCAGCAGCATCAATGAAAAATGTTGGAAAAACGGGCAAAAATGATTCCTTTTGAGAGTAGAGCAAACAAAGTAGCGAGGGTCAGCTAGAGTACAAACAAAATAATTTATGCTCTCTGCTGACTGCAAAATTTGCATCATCTTGCTCTGTTCCCAATTTTGTTTGGTGCCAGCGCAATAGATGGTTTGCAAAGGGTACTGGGTGATTTCTTTTACGGTTGCCTGCATGCCTGGTGAGGATTCTGGGCAAAATATACCGCATCTCACATTGGACATGATACTGAAACTGCTCTAAGTTGCCGGAGTATTTTCGCAAATGTCTGCCTCTAATCGGAGAGACCAGTAGACCTGGGACTTCAACAAAAGATGTTGTTACGATTTCTAGAGCCAAGATTTAATTGCTCAAAATCAACCAGACAAATGCAGACAGACATTTGAACTAAGTGGGGATCAACTTCTGACTTTGTAGTCATCTTCTGATCAAGTTCAAGAATAGACAGCTTTCTTGATGCACTTCAGTAGTTAGGAAATAACCTTTGTTAAATTTGGATACTCACGGTCACCACTGCTGGCTTCGAGGATCTTTTCCCTGATGATGCGACAGGCGTCGTACACTGTCGTGGACGGATCAAACTGTATAGTCTTCACCACCTTGCCGCCGTCGATGGATATTTTGAGTGATAAAGCTGCCATCTTTGTCAGAGAGTGGGCCCTGGTGACAAGATATATACAATAGTAATAAACCCAATAATTATAATAGAAAACCACTGTTAAACATTTTATCCTTCGTTTTCTTTTACTGAGTCAGTGAGGTTACCGGATCTAAACCCTAACCCCCAAACCATTCCTAGAATTCTGAGCATACAAACGCTAACAACGCACTTGTCTCTTGTACTGCGTTTGTCCATGGACGGTGCTAGTCGCTTACCATCAGGTGATGTGTGTAAGATGAAAAAAGCTCGAAGATACCGGGTTCGCATGTCCGTCCTGTGATGGAGAGGCCATGGCCAAACAAATACGCAAAATAAATACTTACTTGTGTATAGTAGCAGTTTGGTAAGGTCTATCTTGTGGTTGTTCGAGGTCCAAGTCCAAGGAGTGTGAGCTGCCCCTGCGGTGTCGAGGCCTCTCTTGACTAAATGAGCGGTGTCGTGGACGGGTTTGGAACGAACCCTGGAAGGTAAACACGACGCATTTTAACTTACAGTACATCGGCCTTAATGACCAGGTCAGCTAACCTTTTGTGGGATAGGAATCTTATAAGGAAGGTGTACTGTGGTACAAGGTTTTTTATATTTTCAATTACATATGGGTATAATAAATACTAGCTTTTATCAATCAATTCATTATCTCTTTCGAATAGTAAGTTTTTCTGATGAAATGTACTCTGTATTTCTGTCCTGTATACGAATTTCGGCGAAAACTATAAAAGCAACCCCACATTCACATTCAATTATATGTCTTAAGTTCCTCTGTCTTTTTTAATACAAATAAAATAATAGGCAAATGCACTCAAAGAGTTCGCAACAACAGACGGAAAGAGATAATAATGTTTGTGCTTGTGTCAATCTATAACCCATTGCCAGAATGTAGAGATTATTTAAATTGTCCTACGAGAATAAATAGAGCAAACAAACTCATATTCGTAATCATTTATTCACATTTACAAAAAAAAAACAAAAAACAATGACACAAATAGACCACCTTTACATATAAATGTGATGTATATACAAAAAGGTACATGTTAGAAGCAATAAATACTCACAGCACGCGGCGCGGTCAGCCGCCGCCAGTTGTCCGATAACGCGTGCTCGATGCGCGAGCGTAAACTGCGTCACGCGCTCTCTTGTGCTTGCGATGGTACACAATCAGATGGTACCTGCAACAAGATAGAAGCGTGTTAAACATAATTTTATATTAATTTTATTAAGACCCAAGGTTGAGCCCTGTGGGACCCTATGTAAGTTATAAAGGATATATATTGATGTTGCTCATAAAATATTCATTTTACAAGACTGAATAAATGCCGTAAATTGAAATAATCAAATCCCATAACATTCCTTTGATAAATATACGTTTCTGTTAAAAATGTTCCAACCAAATATATTGTTTACAATGTCAAAGGCTTTTAAGGAATTTAAGAGCTTCTTCTTTCATAATCGCAATTTATAAATATATAAATTCTGTAGTCATATTAATTATTTTTAAACAGTCGATCTTTGAAAAGATAATATATATATTAAAAACAACTGAATAAGGACATCTTTGTTTCTTTAGACAGAATCAAAAGTTATACTACAATCGTATATTTACATGTGTCAATTGGGACTTAATCGTGGTTACACAATAAACACAGAATTAAAAATTGACTGTTAATTTTCGTGAGTAACATATCAGTCAACGTTATAAAAACATCATGGCTTCACCATGCTTTTCTATAGAATGGCACCACCTGTGCTGCTATATATAGATTGTTATTTTTAGATGGCAACGTATTACGGAGGCGATTACAGAAGCGTGCCTTTAGCTCGTTTTCGTTTGTTAAATATAGTAAATCCTTAAACATTTCTGATACCACTAATATGGGTTACAAGTATACAGGATGGTGGTATAGTTTGCTACACCAAAAGTGTATGTGTCACTCAAGTCTTGACACTATACCAACTAATATTAACTCTTCAATTAAAGACTTTTACAGCATCAGACAAGCAACTGAATGAACCTTTGCATTTTAAATAAGCTTATAAAAGATATGCCCCCTCAGTACATGATATGAGATAATAACCTGACAATTCTCAGACAGAGTCGTCTAATTCCAAACTAGGTAAAGCCTTTGCTATAGTAACCAGACTGCTGATGAACATACTTATATATTACCTAATACATACATATTATAGATAAAATTATAACCCAAAACCTCCTTTCTAAGGAGAGGCCTATGTCCAACAGTGCAATACTAAAGGCTGTTGAAGATGATGATGATAGATAAATTACATCTAGACACAGAACAAATGATCGTACTCATAATCAGTCAGGGTCACTATCCAATAGACCAACCGGCCTGTCATACGAATCTTTAACAAGCTTAGTGTTACTACTGGAATCGCCAAAATTCAGAAACTACGAAAAGTAATAATCACATACTTTGGAAGTAACTACCGTAAAAATATGAGGAGAAAACGATAATTTTCAGTTCGAGCACATAAATAGTATCTCAGTTATAATAATATATGCTCCCTCTCAAAAGGAATTCAAGTGAGATATTTTAGAGAGGGGAGTTTTAATTCACGCCCAATTTATTAAAATTTACTACCAACATTTTCTAGTATCTTACTGCTTACATTTAAAGGGGATCTATTTGTAGACATTATGTATATGGAAATGGGAAGATATAAAAGAGTTGTGGAACGTGTGGACGTGACAGTGAGTTTGCAATTTTTTTGATGAAAAAATAAATATGATGTGTTCAGAATACCAATGGAGATGGATGGACTGGATGAATAGAACAGATAATTATTGTAGTGTTACTGTGTATAAATGCATACATGCAATGAACAGGCGGGTCACGAGATGGTAGGTGTCCACTACGGATGTAATAAAATCATAATCACCTATGATAAATCATATGATTTACAAATCATATAGCAACACCTGTGACTAATTTACAAAACCACTTATTACGCTAGCGCTAGTCTCGCGAAGGATCTAATTGTAAAAAAAAGACGTAAACTTGAAAAAAAGAGATTTGATTCATTTTAATGGCATTTATCTTTGTCTGTGACCAAATCTTTCTTGGAGTTAAATTTCTATACAATTTATGTTACTAGGAGAACAAATGCCACTATTATAACTCCTACGACCACGCGTTAACTTTCTAAGGAGAGGCCTATGTCCAGCAGTGGACTGCTACAGGCTGTTGATGATTCATTAATTAATGTACGAAAGTGATATCTATCTAATAATAGCTGTAGTGGCGTTGTGCTATTAAAGTCAGGAACGATACGCGGACAAATATTGTAGACAACTGAATTATTTATGAGTTCGTCTACTTTGTTAACTCATAACTAATGAAAGGGACGACGGCATTTGAACGAATAAACGCAATCTGAGGCCAATTCTCGTAATAAAAGCTCGGTCACAATTCAGTTCCGATCATCTTTCGAACTGTCATAAAAGGTATTTTCGTAGTAAAATAGTAAAGTATTGCTAAGACTAGCAGATTAACGATTCAATTTTCGGTTAAAATACGATATAATCACATTACAGTCAACGTTAGATGTTTAATTATTTACTACGAAAATACCTTTCATGACAGTTATGAGATCGAAAGTTGATCGGAACTGAATTGAGACCGAACTTTTATTACGAGAATTGGCCTTCTGAAGACGATGATAAAATTGTTTTCTTTTTTTATGTTATAGGCGGCAGTCCAGTATACGGGTCACCTGATGAAAAGAGACCATCGCCGCCCATGAACGTCTGCAACTCAGAAGTCACAAACGCGTTAACGGCCTTTTATGAAGGAGTACGCTCTTTTCTTGAAGGTTTGAAGGTCATTTTTTGGAAGCCACTTGGAAATTAAGCTTTTCGAAATATCTTTGTTTCTTTCAGTAAAAATATTAAGGTTCTGTAGAATATTTGTTGATATATTTATATTGTTGAAGATTTCAAAAGAAATCATACTTACTGAAAGATTTACTAGCGTAGAGATATTTAAAGCACGACATCATTCATCTTATAAATAATCTACTATCTTGTCAATTAATACTTAAAAACGTACCCCTCACTCAAAACCTCAATAAACTCAAGTGCACTAAACACTTAAGAATTAATATCTAGTGCCATAAACTCAATATGACTAAGAACTACCCTCAAATACTAATAAAATCGGACAAGATGAGATTCCTACGATTGCCGCACAAAACTCATCCTTAACGCCTTCAGTTAAGGGGGTAGTGTGATATTAACCAATTCATATACTCATTAAAAAGCCCATAGTAATAACGGACGAGTTATTGCATACAGTTTTGCATAAAAAGGCTCGAAATGGCCCCCACTAGATGAGTGGGGACGAGACGGAATTTTAATAGTACAATGTACGAGTAGTCTGGCCGAGTGCAGGGCGAGAAACGAAATGGTTTCGTATGTAAATCGTACAGACATATTTACCACAGTAACCGAAGATATTTTTTTATGGAAGTTTGAGGAGAAGCTCAGGGCTACTAGTTTACATTTACAAAAAAATTGCCGTCACGACAAGAGAACCTTGTATTTTAAAGTTTTCAAAAAAACATTACTAAAATACATTAAAAAATATTAGCGATAAGCTTGCATTCTACAATAGATAGGTTTATCGATTATAGAATGCAAGCTTATCGCTATTGTTTCCGATTATGAGGACTTGAAACTTCTGCTTATGAGGTTAACGTTATGAGTAAGTCATCCTAATACAAAGATGTCCATTGCGTTGTCATCTAATACTAGAACTATATTACTGACTGGTGTCCGAAGGACCATGTACAACTTAAAAATATATATCCCAAACCAGTGAATTCAGACTTAACAAATATAACCTTATAGCAACGTATCTGTAGCATGAGGTTTCTATGTAATTCTATTATTATGAACTGTTATTTAGCAGAGTGAATCAATTGTAATTGGAAATATATAACAGACGGTAAACTGATATAAATCAAAGACGGGTTTCCCAATCAACTTACTAGAGTGTTTGATGTAAAACAGATGCCTCAACAATGTTACTAATAAAAGGGGATACGATACTACACACAATAAGGTTTAATTGATTTAGAGTAACAGCAGCGGGGAAAGACTTATGGTGCCGCTTTTAAAAAGTTGTTGCTGTTTTTATAAAAAGGCAATTTCCGCATTAGGAATATAGGAAAAACAATTAATAATATAATATAATATATTCTACCACATTCACACAACATCTAGCCCCAAACTAAGCAGAGCTTGTACTATGGGTACTAGACAACTGGTATAAATACATTTATACTTTTTTTTGTAAATACATACATATTATATATAGAAACACCCAGACCAAATCAAACATAAAATGTTCATGCACACAAATGTTTGACTTGAGCGGGAATCGTACCCACGACCTTTGGAATAGCAGTCCATAACACAAACCACTATGCCATATACATTGACGACTTAAATAAAAACAGGAATTATTTACAAAGATGTTACGAAAAGTTTGAATTTTATTTACAATTGTTACATAAAATTTCAATACTGCTATCATGAATGTCAATTAGTTTTATCAGACGTACTGACGACCTAATCACAATGGGAGGGTCACCTTTTATAATGTAGGCTGCAGTAGTCTGCTCTTTTCGACAACCTTAGAAAAAAGTTTGATAAAAAGACTTACAAACAAATCATTCACGCAATTTTTATCTTATCTTTAACAGGCAACGACATTTACCATTTCACGTCCTTTATCCACCAAATTATATTCTATCTAAATATGTAAATAAAAGCCAAAGTACTTATCACTGGAATCTTATACACTTTACTCCAGTTTTACGGTCGACTAGCGATCACGCCAAAGCAATTTACAAAACTGTCCCACACATATTGAGTACACTTTGGAGGCAGCGAGGCGTGGACTGACAATTTTGAGGCGCCACCGTGACGCGTGACGTTGCTAAGCAACGGAACCTCGACACTTGAAAAAGTGAATTCATGACTATTTGATGAATAAATTTTGAAAAAGTATGACATTATTGCTTCTAAATGATTTTGATTGGATTTTGAACGTTTTTATTATACTTTGAGATATATGATATATAATTCGAGAATTGTTTTTATTGTTCGGTTATTTTACCAGGTTGAAGTCAGCCAATTGTCACTTCATTTCGCTGATGATAATTTGTCAGGCACTTATTTTTTACCTATTTTTTTAAAATGGGCCTGATCTATTGATAATATTATAGAGGTATTCTGATCAACCATCCAACTTAAGACATTGCTAAATAATAAAAAGAAGAATAGACAATGGTGTTTTAACAGTTGACAGGTATTTGACGAATACCATGAACGTAATCTTTATCCACGTACAGCATGGATGACGTAGTGGTTTAAGCCTCGCCAGGCCCTGACTACTACACTGAGTTATGGGTACGATCCCCACATGGAACGACACTTTGTGTGATCCACAAATGGTTGTTTTCAGTCTGGATGTTCTTTGTGTCCGTTTCATGCAGTCCACGCGACACAGGATATATTCCTAACGCGGGAGTTGTCTTTAAAAAAAAAACCATACGATAAAATGGGCTAAACCAAAACTGATAATAATCATTAAAAATCAAAGTGGCAATTCAGATATAACGTCCATGTATTGTGAATAATGCAGCAATTGAGATAATTTAACAAAACTATAAGCAGAATATGGATTTATGAAATGAACTAATGCGTCAAAGAAAGGGTGTGTCGTAGATGATCCGGTCATCCAAGTAACTCAGACACAATATAATTATTGTCTCTATTATAGTGTCAGGTTACAGGGCTACGAAATTTCTTTGTTTGGATAACAAAGCA